ATAGTCAGTCCTGATTTTAAAATATTGCCCATACAGATACGGTCTGAAATGTTTGACGGCCCATACTTTCGCTAACAACTCTTTTTCTATAAGTGGATAGTTTGATTCAGCCTTATTCAGAGGTCTGCTAGTAAATGCTATTGGTCTTCCATTTTTATTCGACAGAACTGCTCCAATTGCTTTATTAGATGCATCGGTTTGTAAAATGAAATAATTTTCTTTTGAAAAATCAGGGTAATCCAAAACTGGGGGTGACATAATACGTTTTTTGAGTGTTTCAAAAGACTTTTGATATTTTTCAGTTCAAACGAAATTAGTCAAAGTTTAATGGTTGCGCAATTTCAGCAAACTTGGGTATAAACTTTCTATAATAATTTGTGAACGCCACAAATCTTTTAACTTCGTCGGCATTCTGCGGACAAGGATAGTTTTTTACTGTATTAATTTTTTCAGGATCAGGTAAAATCCCTTCGTTAGATATACAGTGTCCCAAATATAAAATCTGTTTTTTAAGAAATGTACATTTTGAAGGATTTAATTTTAAATTTAGTGAACGAAGTCTTTCAAAAATATCCTGTAAGTTTTTATTGTGGTGGTCTAGTTGTTTACCAAAAACAATGACGTCATCTAAATAAATTAAGCATTTTTCATTATTTAGTCCTTACATTGCTAAATTCATCATTCGCGAGAAAGAACTGGGACTTGTTTTTAATCCCATGGGCATTCTCGTCATCTGGTATTGACCAGAATTGAAAGCAGTAAATTTTCGACAACTTTTTTCTAAATTAACATTGTAATACCCTTGATATAAATCTAAATGTGTAAAATATAAGAATTCTGTAATATCAGGGAGGGGGTCCTTATCGTCCTCTATACAGTTATTTAATTTACGATAATCCACTGCCAATCGCACTTTTTATTACCCGATTCATCTAATTTTTTAGGCACCAATAATATTGGGCTAGAGCAGTCACTTTTACTAGGTTCTACAATCCCTTCTTTAAGCATGTTGCTAATTTGACGATTAATTTCCTTTTTCTGACTAATTGGTAACCTATAGGGTTTTGAAAACAGTGGACTAACGTTTGCCTTTACTTAACGTTTGTTTGAATATTATTAAAATGTACCTTAAAAGGATAGTTTTAAACATTTTCTTAATTTACACAGAAGTTTAGAAATAGTTACATTGTTAATATTTATGTTACTTTTACATACATCACAAATGCATTAGCTTTTTTAAAAAAATACTTTTGCTATAAAAAATGCTTTTTTTTTAAAGTCACTATGACGGCTATAAACTTCACACAACGATAGATTAATTTATTTAAACATTATAAAGAAAATTTTTTAATATTTTAGGTAGGTTATAATATAAATTAATGATTTAATGCCTTTAGAAAAGAAAAAGATTCTAAAATTTATAATGACTTAAACTTTTAAATATTTTCAAAATTTAAATTCAAGGGAAGAAAACAACGAAATGTATCAATGATATTAACTATGAACTGTGGAGAAATCAAGGACGTAAAATGTAATTTAATATTTTGTATTAATGTAATTAAATATTATTATTTCGTTCTTTTTTTTTGTTGGGATAAAGTAATAAAATAATATAAAACTATAAATAAATAAAAGTAAATGTAAAATTGTCAAGCCACATAAGTGCTTAAAATGTAACTTAATTTTTAATACTGTATTATGATTGTATTTCTTAAATAATAAAACAAATGTTGAATAATCATTTATATCACAATTATCCAGTAAATAATTTCTACTTAGTCATATGTTAAATACATAATATTTTATATTTAACTTTAAATAAATATAATAGCAAAAAGAATATACAAATAATCTCAAATTGATAAATAAACTTTTAAATGGAATTAAAATCACGCGAATGCGAAGTTAGGTAACTCAAATCTTCATTCTTTTCAACACAATTTTTACATCCTTCTGGGTGATGCTCTTTAGAATACAACTGCTGCTTTCCCTTTACAAATGTGCCTATTAAATTTTCAGTTTTAATTTTCAGTCAGCTTTCAAAAAATTATTATTGTGGCCTCTTTTGGTATTCATATTTATTGTTATCGACACATCCGGTACTGCGTCCATTCCGTTATTTTTTTTTTGTCTTCATTATTTAATTAAGTAATTTTTTTTCTTCCCACCTTTTAACTAGACCCGGCGGTGCGCATGCACTGTTGCAGCGCACCGACTGGCAGAGTCGCCATGTAATATAGTAAAGATGTCAACGAAGGAGACGTGTGGTTGGTACTAAAACTTTAATTAGACTTCCTCATTATTCTACCTTAACACTAAAGTATATTAACGTGGGAGCACTACACTACAATGGATTGGAATAACTTGTCACTTTGGAATAACTGTCTTTCCGTACGATTACAATGCGGGTGTATTTAAGGAAAGAACAGGCTATTTTACGCTAAGGCAGTGTGATTTAAAATATAAAGCTTTATCACCACTTACCAACAGATGGGATTATTAGCTTACACTGGCATTTCCATTACCTTTTTCATTACATTACAGTTTATCAAATTACATTGCTGAACATAGGCCTCAGGATTGCTTGGCAGGCATGTTGACAACCACAGTTTATTTTTTTATTTTTTATTATATTATTAGTATGACGCTGCTGGTTTATTTCCTTGTCACCTTTTACGACACCCACGAGACTATACGTGGAGTTGGATATTCTTACACCGCCACTACACGGTAATTGACTGACATACACATAAACACTCACACATGTTCCCAGGTGCTTAGGCACAGACTACCAAATTCCATTTTACACTATCCTCATATACCTCTCTCACCTCATTTACATCTACATATATACCTACACATGTATGATCTCGGTTAAAGGTACTTTTAATTTGGCGCGTCTTCAATAGATTGCCAATTTGGTCGGTAAACTTTCCTTCCTAAACGTTCCTTGTATGCCTTTCACTTCTGCAAAATTAATTTGCTTTGTCACTCTTTCCTCATTCATTATTTCTACATAACCAAACCACCGAAGCATTCCTTTCTTAATCCTAGTTACAACATCTCTCAAACCACACTTTTCTCTTATAACACAGTTTCTCACCCTCTCGTTCAGACTCAGTGTTAACCCAATAAACGAATTTCTGCAGAATTTATCCTACTCTCGTGCTTATTCTGCCAACACCCAATTTTAACTTATATATTAAGATACAACACAGCATTGTGAATTGCCACACGCGCCTTTTAGACTCCCACATATTTTTCTTATCAAATGCCAGTCCACTATTGTGGGAAAATGTAATTGAAGTTTTAATTTTTTTTTTGAATTTGAGTATATTGACCTCTCAACCCCTAGCGGTCTCATGAGACCGCGGCCATATTCCGTCAAATCCCTAGCGGTATCATGAGGTCGCGCCCACCAACAGCACTTTAACCCATAGACACTTATATATAGAGACTACTTTTCTATGAAAAAGTTTGGCATTATATCGTCCCCGTAGTTGGAAAATTAAATAACTCTGATTTTGTAGTTCTGAGATAAATGCGATTTAGTGGTTATTTTTCAGTTAATGTACATTTGTTAAAAATGTGAGACAATTTTACTGTCGGTAATTTGATATTTTGTGGACCTGATTACCTTTTACATTATGCTTTAACAAACTAAACTCAATCTTTAACTATAACTAAATAACACATAAAAAATCAAGTTGTTTAATTTTGCCACAACTGTTATTTATAACGTACTACAATTATCTACTTACTTCGGCTATTTATTTAGTTTTCCTACAAACTAAATACCTTTGGTAGAGTAAAATTTGGTGAAATAAATGCATTTATTGAATTTATCAAACTCGAAATATTTTGAAATGTAAAATTTAGTGGCTTTGTACGTTATTATTACTTCGATATTTTTTTAACTATTATTGGTCTCATATAAAATAATAGTTGTTTTATGATATTATTAAAGTTATATTCAGGAAGAAATAGAAAAGTACAATAAAATTTAGAAAAAAGTGTATTGTAATCAGATACTTATCTTACCACAAACTTAAAAAAATAAACAAAATTACACCAATTGTAACAAGTCGAAACAAATTAACTTAAAGTATTCTTTCAAATCAAAACAGAAAATAATTTGAACCCAAAAAATAACATTATGGCTCTAAAATCAGACCTAATTATAAAAGACGTACTTAAGTAGTAAGCAAAAAAACTATGAAAAACTTAAAATAGGTATCAATTAGAACTAAAAAACATAAGATTGTATCAAATCAAAATATAATTAAAACAGTAATATAATCCTACTCTGTGTTAAAACTCAAAAAATTAAAATTGTTTGCACATAAGCCATAGGTCAGTACTCAACTAAAAAATGAACACCAAAACAAAGGTACAGCAATCATTATAAAACTTTCAAACGACTCAATTCAACTAAAAATATATCGTAATAAGGTAAGGTAACACAACACTTAAATTTAACTCAAAACTCAAAAAATAATATGACACTAATCTGGTACATTGAGTACACCAATCAACAACTTATTCTAATATCAATTTACTTAGAACCAAAAAATACTTTCATAACAAAATAAAACATAATTTATATTCAAAACATTGAAATGGCTGTACCTAATCAATACTTAAATGTAAACTTGTAAAAAAGATATAAACCAAAAATATAGGTACCCATTCATTCAAACACAGCGTAAATCCCTTCAAAGTTAGAGTGAACAGGCTCCTTCTGGGTAAGCTCGCTCCATCGTAGACTTTGTCTCTGTCATCTCTGACCAAGACTAGAGTCAAGAGCAAACATATCACAAAAAATAAGTATAATTTAAAATTAAATAACAAATGTATTAAAAAACATGACTCTAAAAATAAACATTTCGTTAATTTGACAATGTAAAAACCCTATTGTAAAATCATTTTACTCATGCTGTTAGGGTTTAAAAGTTTAGTTTAGTTTTCAGCAATATGTAAAGCAAGGGGTCAAAATAAACTTACTCATCGACTTCAGATGAATCAGTGGAGCGTGATGGACCCTGGTCTTCGTTTGAACATGGTAAACTTTCGTACCACCCGTGAAGCTCTTTAGGAATTATATTTTTCTTACAGAGCTGTAAACAGTCTTTTTTTCTTTGTTTTGTTATAGGAAGACATTGTTTATATGCCCGGGGAAGATCTTCAGTATTTATAGTTGGCATTTCAGAGTTTGGAGTTCTCCTAGTCGGTCTCCCTGGTTTACAAAGAGTATTTAGTAAGTTATATGGCCCATCGTAATCGTATCTGTATTTAATAAAACCAGGTAATTCTTTTTCAAATCTAAGACATTTTATTTTCAACCAGCACACTTTTTCCCCATTCTCTGCTATAGTTTTGTTTTTAATTATTTTCGAAGCAAGTGCTTTTACATCAATCATGTCTTGATATGATAATTCAGTTACATTATATGGAGTTACATTTTTATTTTGTCTTTTTGATCTTGCCCGTAGCATAATTCCCTTCCAATCTATTATAGAATACGTGTCTTTGTAAATTTTTCTTTTTCTATGGCACTATGCATTGAATCTACTTCCATAAAACTATGACCACTTTCTAGATATTTCTGTTCTAATACTTTGATTGTCTCATGCGTATGTACTAAGTATAATAAAAATGCTGCTATATACTGATTTCGGTTTTGTCCCGAGCACGTGTCGGAATAAATGGTGACGTGCGTTAAAACCTCGGGGAGATTCTTAATCCATAAATGAGTAGCAGATGCTATTTCAACACTGCCTCTTTTGCCGTTTATTTCCGTCCAGATAATACAGTGAGCGTCGTTCTGCGGAGGTTTAAACTCATAAATAGATAAATTATATAAATTTAATTTTCTGGAATAATACATTAGACTATCTGCAGTCGATGGAATCTGCAGTAGACTTTGCAAGTCCATGGTGACACACAAATATGATTCATCTTCTCCCGACTTCTTTTTATCCAGCTCTTTAGATCTATAAGATGCCTCTTTTCGCTCTATATGTTGAGTATACTCATTTTGAATATTTATATTAGTTTTATCTTTTTTGTAATTGTTACAAATGCTACATTGATCCTTCTTGGGGTGATAGAACGCTAAATTGTATTCTGTACCAAACACTTTCTTATAAATGTTTAATTTTACTGGCACTTTATTGCTTTCTTTCATTTTCTGCACATACAAATCATACATTTTTGATATTGACAAGGTAGGTTCTAAGTATTTCCTGTTTTTTTTCTACAGTAATGGGAATCAATTACAGGAAAACTTTCAATGTGATTTTTTACCTCTTGTATCTGTTCTCCAGGAGTTTTGTTTGCAGGCGTTTGTCTGCCACGATTATCCATTTTTATAAATACACCATGATCATCCACATGTTTTACTGCAGTTTCGATTGGACCAGTAGAAATGCAAAGAGTGGATATAAAATAGTTCTTGCATACTCGTTCAAATACAGTCTTATTTTTATAGAAACCGTATTCTCTGCTAGAACTTCTTTATTTTTCGATCGGTACAGATTTTCTTGTAGTCTGCACTGGCTTAATGATGATGCGTTTAAGCAAAAACTCTTTTTGCAGCTTAAAATCTTGTATAGACCAATAGGATTTGCAAATTTTCTCACGCTCGTTTTGTGTAAACTTTTCTGTGCATTTCTGGCGACAATTTTGGCTGCATTTAGGACTTTTAGCTAGTTTAGCTGCAAGAAACTTTCCAGTTTTACTCTTATATGGCAAACATTTTCGTTTCTTCTCCAACTCTTTATTTCTTTTCCAGTTTTATGATTAGTATTTTTCCATCTGTAGATTTCTTTTTCCTTATTTCCTGTTCCTTTTTCTGAATCTGTTGTCTCAGCGATTGTGATATTGTGTTCCATGATCCTTCTGTCACGGTTAACTGGTGAGACTTGGTCAATAGGAGTTTCAATAATAGCGCGAGTTGTTATAATATTACCTATTTCGTCTTCAGAGTCACTCGACAAAATGGAGTTTATTCGTTCAAATCTCTTAACTCTTTTCTCCTTCTTAGCTGAAATATTGATGTTTATTAAAGAACTACTTTTCCTTTTTATTTTATTTACTTCTTCTGTGTCCGGAATCCATGAAGATCCAGAATCAGAAAAAGGTTTTTCATCTGTCGAAGGTGGTATTGGTTCGATACCCGAAATTGGACTTGACCCTCTGATAGGCGAACTGACATATTTATAGTTGTATAATATTATGTTGTCATCTTCATTTAAATTAATATTACTGCTACAAAAAGACATGGGACTGACATTTACAGGCATAGGTGCTGATTGGGTTTGGTTAATGTTATTAGTAATCATTTCGCTAGCCATTATTGATGCTGGAGCCGATTCGCATGTAATTATCTTAAATCCGTCATGGTCAGGAAGCTTAGGAACATCAGTAACCAACAGCCCATCGGGCATTTTTTCTATCGTAATATCAACAGCAAAATTTATGTCGTTGCAAACATTTTTCTTCATTTCGGATGGTAATATCTGGCATGTTATAACATTATGTTTTTGTGGGCTGACAATAATGGTACTTTGGTCATGTTGTTTGATTGTCTTATTTTTGTCCTAAACAATAAGAAGAAATAATATAGTAGGTATTTAATGAGGAAACAAGTAAAATAATAATCATGTGACAAGAGTTTATGCAGCACACGTTTGGTCATCAAGCTTAATAAGCCTCGGAATTCGCCAACTTTGATACGGTTAGATACATTAGGTATCTAGGTTGGTTAGGTCACTTAGGTAATAATGTCAGCCATACAACAAGAGTTAGGTACTTAAAACGGGACCACTCCTAAGAACTATCTGAGCACCTAGTAAATAAAACCGCCTAGTAAACAAAACCAAAAAAAATCTATTTGTTAACTAAAAATTATTTTTTTGCTATAGGTACCTTTTTTATGGGGTGGTTAAATCATCAAAAGGGGGCGGGAGGGACTGTCAGACTTGTCAGATTTAAACGTAGGTACCATACGTAGTTTCACTCTTAAAAGAATATTTAACGAAAATACCCAACAAAAACAATTTGTGTGACAAGCTAAAAGTAACCTTAATTCTTCAACTTAAGAGTCAAAATTCCAATGAAAGCAGAAGAGTTATCAACTTCTCCCACAACTCAAAATGATTGATATTCAAACTCGCATAAGGGAGGAAAAAATAAATAAAATAAATATCAGTACACAGTTATGACATAATTATTAATCAAACGTTCTTACGGTTAAGAAAGACGTACTTAATCGTATTATTTCTAATTTCTTAATTTAATTTGCAAAAAAAATTGTTCTAAATTATCGTAGGTACATACCTCAGCTGAATCTTCTTCCTTTTGACACATTTTTCACCATAAATCTACCTCGCGAATCCATTATTGGTCACTCTGACGTCAACGCAATTGAAGGTCACGTATTAGACTAAAACACACGACATGCGAGCGATGCATCAAACCGCACCAGCTCACCCCCGCGCTCTCCGTCGTCGTTCCCGATCAGAATATTTCGCGCCAAATTCTCTTAAAAATTTAATAATGACTTTCCTCAGGTGTATTTTGTTTTATGGCAATTATAAACAACTTAATTTATTTAATTTTATTTGCCTAGTATCTTATAATTAATCTTTATCTAGTTGTAGAAGAAATAGATAACATCAAGTATTTATAAATTAAGTACGTTATATCAGAATTTTGAATAGCAGAATTAAATAAATAGAGTTACTTAGTTTTCCTAGAACTTAGTTAGTTTGTGAAAGAATTTTGAAATTGAGGAAAAATTCAACAACTCATGTTATTTAATTTATTTGACATGCAACTTATCATTGACCACAGTTATTGATTTATTTACTGAGTTATTTATTTTTCCTTTAAAAAAATAGTGTTTGTCTGAAGATATTTATTATTCCATCTGTCCGACAAAAATGGCTATATTTTTGGAACGGAATAAGATACGAAAACGCCTGTAAGACTCAAATATGCGGCATGTTTTAGGTGTTTTGAAAATACGGAAAAGTCAATATCGCCAAAATCGGACTTATTTAATTTTCCAACTACGGGGACGATATATTCTATATAAAATACTCTATTCTCTATTGCAATAAAAACTGTTATCCTATGAATATTTATTTATAATCTACGTTAATTTCGTACGCAATTTTCGCGTGAAATTTTGTTATTGTGTTGATTTTTGGATTTTTCTAGTGTTTTATTATAAAATTGTAATGAAAGTTTTTGCGTGCATATAATTCTTTTACGTAAATGATTTCGAGTAATATATATTGAAATAATTGTGATTTCCACGCTGCCGACATTCGCTTGGTATGTGTTTTTGTTATCAAAATGCAATAAAATTTTTTTTGTAATGAAGTAAAACCCGACTTTTGTTCAGACCACATGATAGAAAATTTTGTATAGATTTTATAATGCTAAACTTCTTCGTAGAAAAGTAGTCTCTAAATATAAGTTTTATTGGTTTTAAATGCTGTGGATGGGTGCGGTCGCATGTGACCGCTCGAGATTTACCGGGCGCATGCGACTGCATGGGATTTTATGGGGATTGAATGGTTAATTTTACTTAAATGTCGACTATTAAACTATGAAATTCGCACCGGTTTAAAACGAGGCTATAAATAACTTCGTAGTGCTGCACTGAATGAAGTTAACGGCCCGAATCGTCACCGGCTGTAAGGAATGTGAGCCTAAAGTATATTTCCCTGTTATTTTGAACAACTAGCCGTGTTTAATTTTGAATAGCAAAAGAAAAAAATTTACTTTGGCGCAAAACAAAATTGTTCTTTTTTTTTTTTGATTTATTAAAAAATAAATAAAAACGAACTTCAATGAGGACATTGACGACATTTTGCCACCAGGGCCACGCCACTTAGAAATGAGTTGAAATTTTTGACAGGTATATATATATATATATATATATATATATATATATATATATATATATATATATATATATATATATATATATATATTGTTAATCCAGATAATAATAATAATAATTTAAAAAAAATATATCAATTAATAATATATTAAATCGAATTAATAAATAAACCCCAGCAGTTACTAATGTAGAAGAATGAACTAAAGCCGAAACAGGTGTAGGAGCTGCTATAGCAGCAGGTAATCAAGAACTAAATGGAATTTGAGCTCTTTTAGTTATAGCTGCAATAATTACTAAAATTCCAATAATTTTTATAGAATAATCATTATTTATAAAATTAAAATAAAAAATATAATTTCATCTTCCATAATTTATTATTCAAGAAATTACCATTAAAATTATAACATCCCCAATTCGATTAGATAAAGCAGTTAATATACCAGCATTATAAGATTTAATATTTTGATAATAAATTACTAAACAATAGGAAACTAAACCCAATCCATCTCAACCTAAAAAAATTCTAATTATATTAGGACTAATAATTAATAAAATTATTGAAAAAACAAATAATAATACTAAAATAATAAATCGATTTAAATTTATCTCAGATCTTATATATCTTTTTCTATAATAAATAACTGAAGATGAAATTATTAAAACAGATATTATAAATAATAAAGATATTCAATCCAAAATAATTGATATAACAATATTTATTGAATTAAAAGAAATAATTTCTCAGTCTAAAAACAAAACTAAATTTTCCATAATAAAATAAATTATATAAAAAAATTATTATTCTAAAAAAAATCTAATAAAACAAATTAAATAATTTTTAATAATTTAAAATGATTACCTCATATTTTTGACTCCACAAATCAATATTTTTATTAAATTATTTAAATTAAAATCAAATTATAAAACATTCAATTTTTAAAATTCATATGTTTAAAGGTAATCAATGTAAAATTAATATTAAATATTCACGAGAAACACCAGTATAAAATCTATAAATTCTTAAATTATATTTTCCATGTTGAGTATATGAATATAAATATAATCTATATCCGGCTCTAAAAAAAGACATTAAAATTAATATAATTATTGATAATCAAGATCAACTCACTAATCTATTAATTAAACTAATTTCTCCTATTAAATTTATAGAAGGAGGAGCTGCTATATTAGAAGATATTAATAAAAATCATCATAAACTTATTGATGGTATATATATATATATATATATATATATATATATATATATATATATATATATATATAAAAATCAATTGAATATATGAGTTTAAAAAATTAGTGATCCTCTTCTTGAATCTAATGCTACCTACACCTCATGGTGGTGAGCTACCTCCACCCACCGTTTTTAAACAGAATAAGAGAGTCATTCAAGCAAACATTCAACACGATATTAAGTGAATATTGTGGCTTATAGACATCTACATCTATCCTCAATTTACAAATTATAATCCAAAGGCGTTGTAAACCCTGAGAATTAAGACGTATCCTATACTATAGCAGCATAAAGCTGGAACGCTTGCTTTTTTTGTGAGAGCGTGGTCGTTTCCCGTTCGAGCAGACCCACTCTTGCTACAAAATCTAATGTAACTGTAGAATGACACTACAACGTATCAAAATAATCTCCCGCATATTTCATCAAGTCATTATTTATTTATTTTATAAGAAACAGGTTGCAGGAAACTTCTTTATCAGAATAATTATCAATACTACTTGTGCTCTCAGAGATTTATTTGTAGCTCATCGATGAAAAATCAAGATAACAAACGAGAAACCAATTATATAGATTTATTAAGCGGTTAAACCGTGTATCCAAGTTGATAAATGATAAATTTTTTTTATATATCGTGGCAAGTTATCAGCAACTATAATCGATATTGATTTTTGTATATTAGTTAAAGCATATGTATTTATAAGAATTTTAAATCCACTCATAAATACAATCAAACACCCTAGACCTGGATAGAACCAAGCCCTCACGGAATACCAGCATGAAATAGCAACTTAATGCTGTGGAGTTTCGTATGGTGAGAGTACAGAACCGGAGACCCTCTTTACTAGAAACGAGTCTTAGTCTTAAGGGGTGACAACGCATTCTGTATTTTGAATTTAATATTGAGGACAAATATATGGGCCACAATATTCACTTACCAACAGGTGAAAAGTATACACAGTTTTTAAACTTACTCTATTAAAAACTTGATTTTCAATTATTGTTCCATATACACATATGTTTCATGCAGGATACTAGCCCACAACGCTGTACCCAATCGCTTAGTCGTTAGTACTTATTTGTAGTAGTATCTTGCAAATTAATTTTAATTTAAACCGCAAAAAGTATTATGAAGACGTACTGACTATATAATTTACTATTCTCGCTGAATAAATTCGAAGAAAGTCTAGTGTTGCGGAGGGGACAAAAATATGTTTGAGTTATTGAACCAAGGCAATCGACTCAAAGGACACACTTTTTTATTCTTCTGCAGGACAGTTTTC